CCAAGATCAACACTTTTTACAAAGGCCCAAAGGTGGGAGATCACTAGGGCTAGATGATTTCTTAGAGGGAATGTGTGGTTTTAGAGAGAGGAGCTCTCTAATGGTGGTTTTCGAAAAGTAAGAGAGAGAAAGGATGTTAAAAAGTGATCCAAAAGTCAAAACTCGGACTGATATAAAAGTCGCTCCGCTCAAGCGTGAAAACCCTCGCTCGAGCGTCAGACACAGACTCACACTCAAGCGTCAAAAGCGCCGCTCGAGCGTCGATTGCACACTTCCTGAAGTTTTGTAGACCATGGTTCCCGCTCGAGCGTCAAACTCGCCGCTCGAGCGGAGGAACAAAATCAAAGGGTCACACTCGAGCGTCAAAACTCCCGCTTGAGCGTCTGAAGACCTGCAGAGAAAATACTAAGAGATGGAAAATCACGCTCGAGCATCAAGACTCCCGCTCGAGCGGAGAAGCAACAATAAAGGGCCAGCTCGAGCGTCAAAAGCCCCGCTTGAGCTTGAAGGCCAAATTCTGGGCATCAACTTTTGGTTCCAAAGCACCACCAACCTATTTCAAACCTGCCCAACACAACCCAAGACTCAAATACAAAGAGTAAGGGAAGGAAATGAGAATGAGGAAACAACACAACCACGGAACCAAGTCCGGAATGCAATATATAAAGGAAAGGAAAACCGAGATCGCTATAAGTTTTGAGTTTGTTTTTGGTCTTCTTTGGACCTGCCTTGGGACTGTTTTAGGTTCCCTTGGCCCTTTGGGGTTTGCTTTGTGTAGCCATGGTTTGAGTCCTTTGGCTAGCCTTAGGCTCTGGGCTTTCTTGCATGCTCTGCTTGTGTAGTTTGATTGATTTGGCATTATTCCTTGCATGATTTCAGAGCTTAAAGTGTTTGTCACATGGCCATGTTTGCCTCATTTTATGCCTAGGTGTTGGACCATTCACATGTGCATGTTTTGACTTATTCTCATGCTTCAACTCTCATCATGTTTGGCCACTGATTTGGGCCTATTTCAGAGCCGTCCAATTTGGTTTAAGTCCATCCATTGCATGTTGTTGTATGCTTATCATTGGTATTGTTGTTGCATGCCTATTACATTGTAATGCTTGCATGCTTATACTACTTTGTTAAGTTCATCATGCATCTATTACATTGGTCTAAATACACTTGTCCCTTTACATGTTGTTACATGTTTGCCTCACATTTTATTGCATGTTTGTCATTGGCATTGTTGTTACATGCCTTACATGTTTACTTGTTTAGGTTGTATGCCTATTGCACATTGCTTGTTTGCATGCTCATGTTGCATTAGTTTGCTTGCATGCCAAGGTTGCATAGCATTAAGCATGCATCCCTTGCCTCTTGCTTAAGCACGATAGAGGTTGGGGCCCCCTTATATATTGTGTGCATTTCATTTGATATAAATTGCACACTTGGCTCCTTTGGCCATCATGCATTGAAATGCGTGATTGGTGGTCCGAGGGTCAAGAACCATACTCCCTTGAGCTCATGACATGATAGGGAGAGTGGTTGTGCATACATTGTCTTGAAAATGCATTGCCATGCTCTGTTCGTCCTCTGCTGTAGCAAAATAGCATTCTGCAGGAAGATATGGCCGGTCGGCCATCTTCAGTGCCAGTCGGCTACAAACATCTGACCGAGAGCCATACTTTTGGTCGATTACCTATTTATCTTGGCTGATGGTCCTATATTTTGGCCGGTGACCTCCCACAACACTCAGGGAGTGGCTTAGAAGCATCCTTGAGACTTGCGCAGTTTTCAGAGGTGCAGAGCAGTGCAAACATAGGCAACATGAAGCATGGTGATGGATTTCTGAGCGAAGCCGTCCGAGCATGCATTCATCCCTTGTCTTGAGGCCATTTTAGTGTTTTAATAACTTAGAATAGTTGTTTATTTTGATTTGGTTGTGTAATTAATTAATTAGCTTGTTAGTTAGTTAATTAGTTAATTTGTATTATTCTTTCGAACCCTCCGTCGAGAGGGCACAACTATAATAAGTGTGCGTGTGTGTGATGCATGTCTTCCAACCCCCACTTCTTTCTCCCTTCTTAACAGATTATGATGGTTAGTTCTAGGTCATTTTCAATTTTGCATCCTTATGCTATGCATGTTTACATCATTAATTCGTATTGCATGCACCAGGCTCGGCGCATCATGCTAACTGCATCGTATTTCAATTCCAAGTTGAATACATGTATCGAATTGTTGCATCTCACATGACATCTTAGTATAGCCAAGCCTATCTAGTTGCATTAGCCACCTTAACATAGTTAGGATTCATGCATGATTTCTAATTAGCTTCTTTCTTTGGCTCGGAGTACACTGTAAGTGTTTATGCTTCAGCATCTTGCATGAGTGTGAGTATTGCCACGAAAGCATGCTTGCCATGAGGCTATTTGCTTACGTGATGTAACTACCTGAATACCTGTGGGTGAAGGTTGGATTACTTGAATTGGGACAATTCATTGAAATCCGTATTTTAGCCTACTTGCGAGTAGCAAACTTCGAATCACTTTCCAAACAAACGGATGTGCGATGCTTTGTTCCAAATTAGGCGATCTAGTCTATACTTGTGTTGTGCACATCACATAGTAATTCTAGCTAATTAACCAGAATAAGAACACATGTGTTTTCAAAAACAAGATATCATGCTTAGTACAGGCCGATCTTTGATCGGGCGAGCGGGGGTGCTCATAGATGACCTTTCCCAATCGAACCCAAGTTTCCGAGCCGAGGCAACTTCGGTGATGACGGACACGTGGCTTTAGGCAATGAGTCAGGGTTTCCTAAATTCTCCCAAAAATAAAATATTTAGGTGGCGACTCTGTATCTGGCAAAGCAGTCCATGTTTGGCACTTCTTTACAAAAATCAGTTTTCCAAAACGATTTGCCGGATTTGGACTCTTTGGTGATTTATCAATCTCACATCGCACATTGTGAGATCAGATTAAGAACCGTGACATTTGAGTCCGAACTGTAGCATGAGGCCCTCGGGGCGCGTCTACAGCAGCCTTCGCTCGAGCGAGAACTCCTTCGCTTAAGCGAGCAAGGGCGGACATGCAACTTCGAATGCAATTTTGCATTTTGCTTGAAAGTATTAACATCACAAACTTGAAAGTATTAACATCACAAACATCTCTGCATGGCACAATTCAGGTTGGATTCGCATCTAAAAAACTCAGAGCCTCGCTGAAATAAAAAGTGAGAAAATAAGTACAACTGAAAGGAGTTTTGTCAACCGAGATTGCCAAGAATAAAAACCTAACAATATTGATATCCATTTTGTCCCGGCTTTACAGGAATTCTGATGCACAAGTCTGAACAAGATTATACTAACAAAACCCAAAAGGAAGATCTAGAGTTACCGTTGTTCGACTTAACTGTAATAGTTGATTCCACAAATAATTTTTCAATCAACAATAAGATTGGAGAGGGTGGATTCGGACCTGTTTACAAGGTAACAATGTAAAGACACTCTTATGTAGTCTACAGGATCAATGCCCAATCTCATGGAGCCTATCCAGAAGCCATAAAACCATTCACCTTTTTTATCACTGCTTTTTCATAAATAGTAATGCTACAAAGACATAAATTTTTCTACAGAAAGGTACATAGAATGTTGTTCTACAGACTGCAGCACTGCATTCATCTTGATGTTTGGGTGCCCACTTTTAGAAAAAAAATAAAAAAAATTGTATTCCTAAACTTACTAAATCTTTTAATACAGATCCCACTATTCCGAAGGTAAAATTTTTATAAATATGCCTGCTTTTGAGAAGTGGAATTTTATATTTGTCTTTCAACTTTCAAAGAAGACAATTGGTTTGATGCATCCTTTCTCCCTATGAGACTTCATAAATTTGTGTAATTTTGTCTTTTAAGTAGTTGTAACATAAATCACTGGTCATAGCTACACTTGTTGGAACATTGTCAACCATAGCAACATAAAAACAGTAAGTAAAGACACAATTAATAAGAATGGCAAAATAATAATAATAATAATAATTCGTTTACTTTCAAGCTAATTCTAGCAGAAGATCATTCTATCAATTATAATGGTAATTCTCAGGGTACACTGGAAGGAGGACAAGAAATAGTTGTGAAACGGCTCTCAAAGAATTCTAGCCAAGGACTTGATGAGTTCAAGAATGAAGTTATCTGTATTGCCAAACTTTAGCACCGAAATCTCGTGAAGCTTCTAGGATGCTGCATTCAAGGAGAAGGAATGATGTTAATCTATGAATACATGCCTAACAAAAGCCTGGACTATTTTATATTTGGTTTGGCTCTCTTCAAAACTATAATACTATATATATTGCAACTATTCCACTCTAAGACCACAACCAGCAGTCGTTCTTTCTTTCCTTTTTCCTATACTTTTTTTTTTGTTTATTTTTGGTTTCATATAAACCTTGTGCTTTGTTTGATAATGGGAACGAAATTATATGTGGTTTTTATTACATGTACAATTGCATGAACATGGTCTTCTAAAATTTGGGATTTTCCATTGAGGAATCTTGTTAAATTTATCCGTCAAATTAGCAGGAGTGTGGACTAAATCAGACAAAAAAATTGGATAGATCAAAGCCAAAGCACATTACTGGATTGGTCGAAGCGCTTCCACATTGTTAATGAGATTGCACGGGAACTTCTTTATCTTCATCAGGATTCTAGGCTGAGAATTATTCACAGAGATCTCAAAGCTAGCAATATTTTGCTAGATATTGACATGAACCCAAAAATATCAGATTTTGGAATAGCTAGAAGTTTTGGAGGAAATGAGACAAAAACAAATACAAATAGAGTGATTGGAACATAGTAAGAATCTCTATAATATGTTTTGTTTAATTCACTTATATTGTTGCTTCAAAATCCAGTTTTTCATTCTATCTTTTGTTGTAATGGGTACATATCTCCAGAGTATGCAATAGATGGGTTATTTTCAGTAAAATCAGATGTATTCAACTTTGGTGTTAGCTATTGTGAGTAAGAAGAAAAACAAAGGTTTTTATCATCCAGGGCACAACCACAACCTACTTGGCCATGTAAGTGTACTGACTAGAAGTAATCTCATATGCATGTGCTCCAATAAGGATAAAAGATTCTTTATTCCTAAATTATCTTTTCCTTCTGTTCTGAAACACTCATTCATTGGATCCTTGAGAATCTTGAGGTACGGGTATCTTGGGACGTAATCTAACTGTGAGTGTCTTGAGAAAGGAGAACAAAGAAATTCTGAGATAGAGGACCTTGTGTCTCGTACTGCTAATATTGTAGTGGATTATTCAGGCATGGAGACTCTATGAAGAAGACAAGTCATTGGAATTGATTGATGAGGCTCTATGGGACTCATGCTACCAAATTGAAATGTTACGATCAATCCATGTTGGTCATTTATGTGTGCAAGAAAGTCCAAAAGATAGGCCAAGCATGTCATCTGCAGTTCTAATGTTGGGCAGTGAAGCTGCATTGCCTCAAGCCAAACAACCTGGCTTCTTCACTGCAAGAAACGTTCTTCAGACTGGTTCTTTGTCAAGCAAGGAAGCAACAACTACGGGCAATGAAATCACCAGTACTATGTTATGTGCTCGATAGAAATTATACCATGTACAAGGTGAAAGCTTAATCATTGTTTCTGGTTACAAGTTTACATGCACAATTCACCCATAAAAAAAGTTCACATGCATGAAATTAAATCAAAAAGTATCAAGAACATGTACTCTTTTTTTCATGTTTGCATATCATTACTCTTTGTTTTATGTAACTAATTATAGTTTGCCTACTTGTACATGTGAAAGGGAACTTCATTTTGAGAATGAGCATGTGTACCCACAACTTAGCACAAAATCTTTGTTTATTTGTGAATTTGCCCAGTCCAAACACATTACATTGTTATATACAATTGCTATTGGGATTCAGATATGCGCGTGGAACAACATACAAAGGCTTCAAATAGTCAACACGGGACAAGGAAAAACAACCAAACCAAACTAAGCAAACAACCTAGCTAGGTGAGATTGTGGGTGTTTGGGAAGTAGGTTTTTTTGTAGGTTTTTTTAGTTGTAGGATATTATTGAAGAATTTTTTTTTGTGTTAGGAAGATAATTGGGTTTTTTTTGTAGTTGGATGTGATATTTGTGAAAGAAAAAGTGAAATGATTATGGGGTTTGATGTGATATTTTGTTTGGATTTGTTTTTTTTTTTTTTTTTGTAACCAATTTGTCTTTTAGTGAAAAAAAACAAAAAAAATCCTTCCCAAACACCGCCATTGTAAGAGAAGAAAATAGGGCTTAACATTGTTTTACACAAGATCTCTGAAGCTGGTTTCCAAGAAAGATAGATAGCCTTAACATTGTGTTAATTTGCTAAACAGACTCACGGGTCTTGGACCATAACAATTAAACATCACCATGAATTGTCTTCTGTCACAAAAAAAAATTTCACGTCAAAAGTGGTCGTTTCAAAAATAGATTTGAACTTTTTATTTATAAATCTATGTAAATGGGCGATTTAGATCTACTTGTGGTACGATTACATTATTATCACGTGCGACAATGAATAATTGTTTTTCCTACCAAATATATTGGGTAGTTTCTACAAACATAATAAATCAGAGATTGAATTTGGCACCTACTCATTAGATAGTTTTGAAAACTAGAAAAGTGTTTCTATATTGTTTCCAGTAAATATGTCCAAATTCTTTTTATCTTCATTCATACAATAAATGTTATATATATATGTATACAACTTATTATATTTAGAAAGATAAATTACATTTATTTCTCCCAAAATTTGTGTTAGATTTTGTTTACTTCAGAATATTTTGGCTTGAAAATTTGACTTATTTTCATTTAAAAAAAGAGAAATATAGCGATACAAATTTTGAAAAAAGAGAAATAAGGGTATGAGTGGAATTTTGCAGTGTAAGGAAATAAAATGCTTTTAAATTTTATTTATTTATTTATTTATTTTTAACGGTAGCAGAATTAAAAAGGGTGTTTTTGGCCAAAACCCTCTCCTTGGACCATTTTTGTGATGTAAAAATTTTATTTAAGTTTTGTTTAGAGACAATCTATTTATAAATGACAGTAGACTTACTTTGGCCAAAACTCCCTTATTTATTACTTATTATAGTGACTACAGTGCTTAGTGTTGATGATAATATTTTACTATTTAAAAATTAAAATTTTACAGTAATATTATTGTAAATTAGAATAGAATTTTACTGTGAGATAGAGTAAAATTTTACTGTTGACATTAATTTCAATAGTAAAAATTATATTTTATTTTTTTAAAAGAATTTCATAACCAACATAAAACTTGTTTGATAGATATTGATAAGAAAATTCTAAAAATACTAATTTTATTAAAAAGCGACATTTAGATAAAAAGTTATATCATTTTAAAATTTTAAATTTTAAATTACTTACTAAGAATATTTTGATATAGTGATGTGTGCTGGACTTTTGAAAGAAAAAAAAATTGTGCTTGTACATAATGTATGAAATTTCCTTATGAAGAGGTTTTGATTAAAATAATGCATAAGAAAATAAAGAGGTGATGTGTAGATGTCCCCGAACGCCCCGGGAGGATGAATCCCGTTCTGTTCATTTGGGCTCGCTACAGTTCGGACTCAAATAGTCATGGTTCTTAATCTGAACCAAAGAGTCCAAATCCGGCAAATCGTTTTGAGAAAACAGATTTTTAGAAAAAAAGTGCCAAGCATGGACTGCTTTGCCAGATACAGAGTCGCCACCTAAATATGTTTTTTTTTTAATGGGGAATTTAGGAAACCCTGACTCGTTTGCCTAAGGCCACGTGTCCGTTGTCACCAGAGTTGCCTCGGCTCGAGAACTTGGGTACGATTGAGGAAGGTCAGCTATGAGCACCCCCTCTCACCCGATCCGAAGATCGGCCTCTACTAATCACAATATCTTGTTTTGAAAACATTATGCGCTCTTATTCCGGTTATTAGCCTAGAATTACTATGTTATGCGCACAGCAAACAAGTATAGACCAAATCGCCTAAATTGGAACAAAACATTTCATGTTTGTTTTGGAAATGGTTTGCTACTCGCAAGTAGGCTAAAATGCAGATTTTGCCACCCTCAAGTGGGCTTTAGAAAAGATGGTTTTGCCACTATCTAGTGGGCTTAAAACTCACAGTTTTAGTGCATTATTCCAATTTAGGTAATTCAACCTCCACCCACAGGCATTGAAGCAGTTATATCACATAAGCAAGTACCCTCATGGTAAGCATGCTGTCATGGCAACACTCACACGCATGCAAGGATGCTAAAACATAAATGCTTACCGAGTACTCCAAGCCAAAACAGAAACTAGTTAGTAATCATATGCATGATCCTAGTTCATGTTAAGATGGCTAATGCAACACACGCAAGATGCAGCTATAATAGGCTCGGCTAACCTATGGATGGCATATGATGATGCTACAACTAACACGTATTCAACTTGGAATTGAAATACAATGCAGTTAGTATGATGCGTCGAGCCCGTTGCATGCAAGACGAATGTATGGATGCACGCATGCATAGCATAAGGTATGCTAATTTAAATATGACCTAATACTAACCATCAAAAGCAGGTAAGTAAAAGGGAGAAAGAAGTGGGGGTTAGAAGACATGCACACACGCACCCACACTTATTACAAATTCGCCCTCGCTCGGAGGGACCAAAAGAATAATACAAATTAATTAACCTACAAGCTAATTAATTATTACAGACCACTTAACTAGTTAAGCAAATTAACTAAGCTAAGAAAGCAATAAAACAACCTCGGGAAGAGGGTCCAATGCAATTCATGCTCGGTTCCGCTCGGAAGTCCACTGCCATGCACAAGTTGCCTCTGTTTTTACTGTTTTCCTCCTCTGATCATTGCAAAATTCCCAAGGTGCATTCTATGAACCCTGTGGGATATCACCGGCCAAGGGAAATGGTCACTGGCCAAAGGAAATGATCACCGACCACTGGTTAAGCTATCGGCCACCATTTGTTGGTCGGCCGGCACTCTATGTAGCCGACCGGCCAAAACTCCCTGCAGAAACCTGTTTTGACAGCAGTAGAGGGCAAAACATGGCATGGCAATGCAATTCAAGCAAATGTGTGTACCAACACATCCCTTATCATGTTTATGACTCAAAGGGACATGGTACTCTATTCCCAGACCATCAATCGCGCATTTCAATGCATGATGGCCCAAGAGACCAAGTGTGCACTTTGATTTCAAATGTCATGCAATGCACATAAACAAACAAATGGAGCTTAACCTCTATCACAAGCAATTCAAGAGGCAAGGCATGCATGCCAATGCAATGCAATCCTAAGCATGTGAGCCTAAGTATGCAATATGGGCATGCAAGCAAGTAATGTATGTTAGACACACAACCTAGGCAAACAAGCATGCGAGGCATGAAGCAATGCAACCAACAAGTATGTAAGACACAATGTGGGTGTTCAAACATGCAAGCGAGCATGTGACTTCATTCAAGCATGCAACAAGACACAAGTATGCGACAACACACAAGGTGAGCATGCAACAACATGTGAACAATGGACTTAAACTGATTCGGGCAGCTCTATACTAAGCCCAAAACAGTGGCCAACATGCTCAAGAATGAAGGCAAAATGACATGTAAACATGCATGCACACAAGGACCAACACTTAAGCATTAAAGAGCAATTCTCAAGCACACTTAAGAGGATGCAAACATGGGCAAATGGCAGGCATTATAAGCTCTGAAAATCATGTCATGAAAGGTGCCAAACCAAGTCAATAAGACAAGCTAAGCATGCAACAAATGGTCCAAGTACTCAAGGCAAGCCAAGAAGGCTTAAACCAAGGCCAAGTCAACCAAGCCTCACAAGGCTAAGGGGACTTAAAACAGGTCCAATGCAGACCTGAACGAAGCTAAGGATGTACCTAGATGGCATCTAGGTGGTCTAAATATGCAAGCATACAAAGAGGCACATTCATGGAGCATAAGGCAACAACCTTTTAACACATTGAAGGAGCATCAAACACAAGCATATAGGCATGTTATAAGGACTGAAATAACATGGTAAATGGTTCCAAACCACTGAAATAATGCGAGTAATGTATGCTCATGGTCCATGCACTTGAGGCTCACAAGCCAAGAATGCAAAGAGGCTATACTAAGCATGCCATGGTCGACCAAAGCAGCCAAAAATAGAACCTCAACATACTAAAACAAGCACAAAAGCTTCACAAAGCTAAGCCTAAATCATGCTAGAACAAGGGTCTAAACCTAAAGCATCTTAAGGCAAAAATGTGGCATTACAAGACATGTATGCAAGGGATGCAAGGTGTGTCCGAACCAACATGAAACAGAGGTAATACATGGAAAAATACTACCAAATAATAGTTAAGGCATGGTCAACATGAACCTAAACTAGGTGCTCACACATGAGGCAAAAATGGACCTTTTCAAGGACAACAAGGAGAGGGGGTGGCCCCCTCCTTCTTAGGACCTCAAGGCACCATCCTCACCACTGAAATCCCTCAAGATTTCAATGGTGAGGAGGCCCAAACAAGGTGGTCCCGGAGCTCACCAAAATAGCACAAAATGGGGGCCAAACAAGGCCTAAGAGGGGTCAAACAACCCCAAACAACAAAACACT